AAGAAGAACCAAATTCCTTGTCTCCCCGGTCCATCGTGTCCACCCAGACCAATACAGTTCCTTCTTCCCCAATCTCCACACTTCCACCTCTGTCCTCTCTGTTACCAATGCAGCAGCCTTTGAAATGTCCCTTCTCAAAACCCACCAGAAAGGCTTCCCAACATGGTAGAGGGTCCTGGAGTCTCTAACACAACATGTTTCCCAGTCCCAGCCTATCTTGCTGACCCCTACCCTCCCCCCAACTCTTTCCCCAGTCTGGCTTAGTGATCCCCATCCCCCACACCTGGCTATTCTTCAAGCAGCCCCTGCTTCCGTGTCCTTGAGTGCGTGATTCCGCTGAGAAGCTGTTTTCCTTAATTGGTCACTTAACTGGCATCTGTTCTGCCATCCTACTTTACACTGGCTCATTAAAAAGGTCAATCTTGGGGAATCACCTACCGTGCACAATTTAAGGGTATACAGCACACCCCCCTGGAAGAAGGGTACAATATAACTTGAACTTTACCTTGAAACACAAACAATGTAAGCTAACCATTTGTACCCTCATATTAATCTAAAATGTAAAAACTTTCAAACTGAAGGATATTAAAGAGAGATGACAAATGCAAATTAAACCAATAAAGATCATCTCCACCCTTTTCCCAACTTTTCTCCACCAACACCTGTCAACAGCTCACATCACAGGAGGTAGTTATCTGTTTCGGGAATGTCATCCGGTTAAGCCAGGAGCAGGCAAACTACAACCCATGAGCCAAATCCAGCCCACAGGTGTGTTTGTAAATAGTTAATTAGAACACAGCCACACCTGTTTGTTTCATAGGGTGGACAAAGCAAGCTGTGGCTGGTGTTTGCACCTCAACGGCAGTTGTGACAGAGACTGCACGGCTCCCACAGCCTAGAACACTTGCTATCTGGCTCTTCATGGACGTTTACAACTCGGCACCAGAGTCTAAGCTCCACCAGGGTGGGATCTGCATCTACTGTGCTTCAGCATCTTTTCCCAGCACCTACAGCAGCGCCTGACACTTGTCCTTCCATCATCATTTTTTGAGTGGCTAAGAGACTAAAGAAATGAAATAATCATGTCCAAGTTCCTGCCAGCCATAAACAGGACCTCTTCCTGCAGCTATATGACTGGCTCCTGCTTTGGGGAGTCAAGGGGGCCACTCAGGCAAGTCTCAACCTTGGCATGCCCTTTCTGGGCCATCCCAAAGGGAGTGCTGTCCAGGTTAGCTGAGCCAATCTCATAGGGTCCATTTAGTGCCCTGACTCCTGGTGAGCACTCCAAAATGGCTTCCAAAGCTCGTAGGGTAAAAATAAATGACCTCAACTAGGCCATTCTGGCTGTGCCTTGCCTATCCACCTACCTTCCCTTCTGTCCACTCTCTCCCCTTCCTTTCTCTGGACTCCAGGCAAAATGGCAGTTTTAGAAGCACCTGGCCCCTTCCTGCTTCAGGGCCTTTGCACTTGCTATTCCTTTCACTGCACCAACACCCGGGCCTCCTCCTCTACAGGACTAAAGCCCACTCATGCCCACAAGGTTAGCTAAGATGCCACATGCTCCTGGAAGGCCCCTGACCTCTCTGACCAGCTCAGACCCCACTCACAGGTCTCTGCTCTGTTCTGTGTACATCTTGCCATCCCAATTAAGTAACTGTGGAGTTATCCATTCATTGTCTGCCTCTCCCAGACTCCAGCCTCACTCCTGCTCATCAGTAAATGCCATGAGGCGTCTCTTGCTCCACACAGTATCCCCAGTGCCTGGATGGAAGCCACCACAAAGCAGGTCTTCAAAAAAGATGTGTTGGCTGCCTGAGTGCATGAACGATGTAAGTCCAGAAAGGAGTATTTAAACTACTACTAAAGACACTAATACCCACACCAAAAGGCAGAAGGATCTAAGGTCTAGAGAAGGCAATTTGGTAAGGTCTACAAAAATTCCAAATGCACACACCTTTGGAACCAAGTGATCCTACTTTTAGAAATGTATCCTGTAGATATACTGTCCTCTGTCCAAAATGAAGAATGCATATGATCAGTTACTGCTACTGTTACTGTTTATGATCCCCAAGATTGGAAACAATCTAAAGCCCATCAGTTTGGGATGGGTTATATCCTGGCTCATTCATACAACAGCTATGAGAAGGCTTGAAAAGTGCTTTTGGTATGGATACAGAATGACCACTAGACTTAGTAGTAAGGGAGAAAAGCAAGCTGCATACTATGTCCATAGTATTAAAAAGGAAGGTGAAGCCAAGGCGGAGGATTGCTTGAGTTCAGGAGTTTGAGACTTGCCTGAACAAAAGTGAGATCCCGTCTCTACCAAATATAGGAAAAAATAGTGACATGGCAGGTCCCTGTAGTCCCAGCTATGGCCGAGGCTGAGGCAGAAAGATCATTTGAGCCTAGGAGTGTGAGGGTTGCTGTGAGCTAAGATGATGTCACTGCACTCTTCCTGGAATGACAGAGTGAGGGACTGTCTCAAAAAAAGGAAAGATGGAGACTTTACCTCTTACATGTTTGCCTGGATGGAGCTAGAACCTATTTTTCTTAGCAAAGTATCTCAAGAATGGAAGAAAATGTATCCAACGTACTCAGTCTTACTATGAAACCAATTCATAAGAAAGCTATAACCCAATTATAGCACAGGAAGAAGGGGAAAGGGGAGAGGGAGGGGAGGGGAGGGGCGAGGATGGGTGGAGGGAGAGTAGTTGGTGGGACCAAATCTACAGTGCATCTTACAAGGGTACATGAGAAATTTACTAGGTGTAGAATATAAATCTCTTAACACAATAACTAAGAAAATGCCGTGATGGCTATGTTGACCAGTTTGATGAAAGCATTTCAGATTGTGTGTAAAACCAGCACATTGTACCCCATGATTGCATTAATGTACACAGCTATGATTTAATAAAAATAAAAATTTTTTAAAAGGTGATAGAATGTACACAGACACACACACCTGCTGGATGCACAGACTTTCTTTGGTAGGCACAGGTAACAGTGACTTCCTCCAGAGAGAGGAGCTAAGGAATTAGGAAACAGTGACACAGTCGAAAGGAGACTTTCTGACTTCCGTAATTAGGGAGAGTAAAGAAACAATTCTCAAAAGAAACATTCTTATTTCACAGGGGGCAGGTGACATAAATGATACAGAGTAATGAAACTCTGGTTTACAAAGCAGGAAATTGAAATTCTACTCCTGTTCTACCACTAACTAACTGTGTGACTTGGGAAAAATCCCCCACCCACTCAAGGGGTCAAGCCCTCCTCATCTGTGACAGAACAAACTGAACAGGTCTCCTTGGTTGTTTCCAGCTCTGAAATCTGTTGATTTTTTTTTTCTTGCTAGCATCTGTAGGGTCTGGAGTTCTCGGGGAGCTGCAGTTCAGTATGAGCTTGTATTTGAACTTGCATGCACACACCCTCTCACACACACACACGCATCTTCCTAGCAGGTGACAGAGCATAGGTTTTTAGTCTAGGAAAAGATCAATGTCAATCCATGTGCA